AATCGAAAACAATGTGGAACATTCTGAAAAATACAAATGATGCTAAAGTAACAAATAATAGCTGCATCACAATCAAAACAGAAAACAACACGATGATATCAAACTCAAAGGAATTTGCTACAATGTTTAACAACCACTTTACAACCCAAACATGCAGTAAGAACTCAGGTAGTACAGGGTTAGCGAAGAACAAAGCCACAATATTTTTAGAAACGGCTAATCATATAGAAATATACAATATTTTGAACGACTTACAACCGAAATTTGCTAGTGGACTTGACACCATTTCCCCTTAGCAAGAGTAATACCGATCCACAAAAATGGAAGCGGATATAAATAACTATAGACGGGTATCCATTCTACCTTCGCCTTCAAAGGTCTTTGAGAGAGTAACCTACAAGCGATTGCAAACATTCTTGAATCTAAATGAGATACTTCCTCCACAACAATACGGATTTAGACAAGGGATGTCAACTGAACTTGCAATTCATAATGCGATAACAGAATTTATGAATAATATTGGAGAAAAAAATAGGGTAGGAAGCTTTTACTTTTATCTATCAAAGGCCTTTGACATGGTCAGTCATACTATTTTACTAGATAAACTAAAAGATTATGAAATTAGAGGCAACGCACACGACCTTATAAAATCATATTTTCCTGGAAGATACCAAGTTGTAGACATTCAAAATGACCAACAAACTTATTCTGATAGAAATCTAATTACTCAAGGAGTTCCACAGGGGTCTATCCGAGGACCAATATTGTTCTTGATATACGTGAATGACCTTCCACAATCACTTGGTACAGGTCTAGTCTGTCAAATTGCAGATGATATGTCGGTAACAGTGTCTGGGTCTGATTCAAGAGCTCTCTCCAGTGGGTTATCTGAGGTAGCGGAAAAAATGTTCAGGTGGTGTTCGGAGAACGGATTAAAATTGAATACAAACAAAACAGAACTAATCCACTCCAGAACTTTCCAAAATAGACAGGAATCGATCTATGTCAAATTGGACCATAAATCTATTCCAGAAATAAACGATTTCAAATTTTTGGGGGTCACAGTTGATAGCAGTATCAGATGGGACACACACGTGTATAAACTGAACTCAAGGTTCTGTTCTGTTGCAGGAGTAATTCGAGCAACAAGGGATGAAGTCTCGTTGAACAGTATGAAGGTATATTACTATGCACATGTTCAATCCAGTATTCTATATGGAATTTTATTTTGGGTCACATCTACTATGGCGAACAAAATATTCAGAACTAAAAAGTATGTAGTTCGCTCTATGTTAAAATTACCTTATGGGTCAAATATAGACCATACTTCAAAGAACTTGCTATATTAACCGTTCCTTCCTTGTACTTTCTTCAAATAGTAACTTTTGTAAAAAAACACTTCCACATCTTTACAAGGAACTGTGATCATTATTTTGATCAAATGGCAATAAATACTAGAGGAAGAACCGACCTCAGTATACCAAAACACACAACATCATTTTATGAGAAGGGACCTCAATATAAAGCCATTGAGGCATATCAGTCACTCCCAACTGAAATAAAAAATANATCACTCTCAGAGTATACCATCCAGATAACAGTTTTTTATTCAGATTTCTTGTTTTCCTCAAAGCTGAGATTTTTATCTGAGAATGACCCTAAGAATTGACATACTTATATACATTTTTTGATTTTATTAACTCTCCTCTAATTTGAAAAGAATCAACAATGTATTTAATACGCTAATTGTATTTACTTCTCTTTGCAACCTAGCTTGTATTCATTTTAATTATTCTAAATTAAATGAAGTAACAAAATCTGACTCAGCAATTTTAATTTTTTAAAAAGGAATTTGAATTTAAAAAATTGTTTACATGAAAATATCAACATTGTTTCTATTCACTCTATATAATGATACTTTCTTTCATTTTATTGCATGTTTGAGAAAAGGAAACCATTAAAAAATTATTCATTTCAGGAAAGTATCGGCAACAAGGAAGAAACTATGTTGTAGAAGATGGGGATATAATATTTTTCAAATTCAATGCTGGTGCAGGTTTACAAGCCAAGAAGAAATGATTGTCAATGTGTATTACTGTTTGCATCATGGTTTATTTATATATTAACATGATCTTTTTTTATGCAAGCATCAACTGCTGACTTCTGTCATAACAATTTTGATTATTTTATATTGAAAATATTCAATAAAATTCATGATTTTGTATTGCAATTATTGAAGTATATCTTGCATATTTTATATAGTGTTTCACATATTCATGGTTGTGAATAAAATAA